AGATCGTCATTCCAACGTGTTGGTGGAGAATCTCTGCTTTGGTAGGTATCACCTCTTGGTCTCCATTCCAGTATCGACATTTTCCGTCTGTTATCTGTCATTGGAGCCACGTGATCTGCTGCAATTCCACTTTGCTGTTGTTATTCTCTCTACAGCATCATTCACTTCTGATATTCGTCGTAGCTGGCGGTTTGGGATCTTGTCTCGCAGTGAAACGACGAAAATAGCACGCTCCATCTCCGTTTGAGCCACCCACACGGACGTTTTGCTCTGTTCTCCTTGTCATTGTCAACGTTTCCTCTCCGAAAGTTAACACTAGCAAAATACACTGACTAAAGGTTTTTCTTTTAAGACATATTGGTATGTTGGACGATTTGAAAGTGTGGTCCAACTTGCCGAAATCAGCCTTGTACGACAGAGGAGCTCAACGGTTTTCTTTATTTTTCCCTATGCGAATCTCGTGACCTAGGAGGTTTTTATTGTCCTAAACTTACTAAGAATGCTCTTATAAGAGCATTTATTAAACCATTGACTGAATTTTAAGTGCAATTATTGAAGTTCTTATTTCAAAAACATTTGCAGTAGGTATAATAGTTTTCTACATGTATTTTTTTACTTTTGTAATACCTAACATTACATAAGTATATTTAAACTAAATAAAATCTAGATCAGATTATCTGACGTGCATGTAAACTGATTAACAAAATCGCATTTGCCATTCGACTCCAACATTGATTGTAAATAAGATGTCGGATTTAATTAAATAAGATTGATACCATATAAAACATGCATTTGAAAGACTTTAATTCGTATTTGTACAGAGCATGAAGTTAATAAAATTACATTGTATATGAGGAATAAGGAACACGGATTTAACAAAGGTAATTTGTTATTTAAAAGAGTAACAAATTGTGTATGGATTGAGTAGTCAGTATCTTCAGGAAAGGTAGAAATACTTTTCTTTGTCTCCTTCATTGACTGCTGCCATTTGATCAGTGCTAATCAGTAGTCATTATTTAGAAATGTCTGAATCAAATAACAATCAGTATTTTTACTGGAATAGTAAAATCAAAGCATTTAATTTAGAAGTTACGACCCAAATTGAAATAGTTATAGTAGCATTCCTAAACAATAAGATATTTAAGTAATCGGAATCAATTATCTTTGAAACCCGTACACATGAAGGCTTTAGACGCCACGTTTACCTATCGCCACGTATTTTAATATTTTATTTACTTGACTTTCCAATAATTCACTAATTGCCAATAGAACTTTATCAAAGTAATTTGATAACTACAAGTTGGAAAATAATTGCACACCCACACAATTTTTACATCTAAACTTATTCATTGTCATAAAACTGTCACCTTCATAAAACAATTACTCAATAAAAAACACACATTTCAATAATATATCTCTCGAATAAGTATAAATAGCTTTTAATAACACAATGGTATATTACATCACTTTCTTTTAACAAACAATCACACACATATCTCTTCTTCATTGGATCTTATCTATCTCCTCAAGAACTTCCCGTTTACTGTCAAACAACTGCAATAATAGAATTGAGTTCTCCATTCAACAATACATAGTAGTTTCAACTAGGGATGTGCTAGTCTGCGATTTCTTTGGAGCAGTGACAGAATGCGATTGCTCCGGCTACGTCACTGTGACAAATCGCAGTGATTTTTCGGAGCAGTTGACCTTGGTAATATAAACGCTGCTTTCTGATTCTATTACCGAGTAGCATGTAATACTGCGAAATTGCGATTGCGCTATATCGAGTAGATGTTGGGAGATTGCTACTTTTTTAAAGTATTTTAAATTTATTTGTAGTATTAGAAATATTATAGCGATATCAATGATACTGTTAGGCTGTAATAATTTTATGTCTTTAAAATACATGGTACTCGGTTATAACTTATTCTGTCTTAGTTTATATGTGACCACCTCGCAACTCTAAGTTCTTGGAATCCCCGAACTGTAAAACAGTATGTCCATTCAGTCATATAGTATAGCGATTACGCAACATATAACGAAAATTGTTAAAGCTGTTTTACGATTTATAATTTGTTAAAAAATTTTAAATTGGTGTGTAGTTTCAGTGATAGCGATGGATAGGAAAAAGACGGCGCATATTTGGAAGTTTTTCACACCCCAAGACCAAGCTAACGCCATGTGTAATATATGTAAGCAAGTACTTAGTTATAAAACATCAACCACCAATTTAAAAAGACATTTTGAAAGAAAGCATCCTTTAGTAAAATTATCACCAGATCTAACTTTAAGAACCAGTGTTTTATCGAGACCGGTACAAATAGCTACTACCACCCAAGTTAATCCTATTCAACCAGGTAACTCTGAACCATCCACATCTTTATGTACGAGTATATCTTCTTCGGCAGGTCATAGTCAGGAGTCAAATGTCAGAAGCAAAATTCAGACTTCAATTCCGTATACCACTAAATTAATAAATATTCATTCGAAGAAAAAGTTTGACAATGCCCTAATGAGATTGTTTACAATAGATTTGCAACCATTTAGTTTAGTTGAAGATACGGGCTTTAGACATTTTGTAAATACTTTAAATCCAGCATACCAACTGCCAAGTAGAAAATACGTTACAAACACTTTATTACCAGCATTATATGAAGAAAAACTCCACAATGTACGGGAAATGGTAAAAACTGTAAGCTCCGTAACTATTACTACTGATTGTTGGACATCGATAAATACTGAGAGTTTTATGGCTACCACTATTCATTTTGTGACCAAAGAGTTTGAGCCAAAATCTATTTTACTTGAATGTAGCTCATTTCACGAAGCTCACACTAGCGTTAATTTGGCTTCTGAATTGAATCGGATTACAACTGAGTGGGGTTTAGAAAATAAAATTTTGATAGCGATTTCTGATAACGCTGCCAATATCAAAAAAGCTATTAGAGAAGAATTGAAATGGCCACATTTTGGATGCTACGCCCATACCATTAATCTTATTGTGAAGGATGGCCTTGAGGAAGCAGAGCCTACTATCAACAAAGTTCGGTTACTAGTAGCACATTTCAAACGCAGTACATTGGCTATGCTGAAACTGAACGAAATACAGAACCAATCGGGTAAGGAGCCTCTGAAATTGTTACAAGATGTACCAACACGGTGGAATTCCACTTTTTACATGTTGGAAAGAATCTTACAGATGGAGGAAATTGTTCGCTCAACAGTCGCACTTCTAAACAGTACTAATTTACCCATTATATCTGTTGAGGAGTGGCAGTTGCTAAGCGATATTAAAAAAGTCTTACAACCAATGGAAGAAGTGACTAAAATTATTTCTGGTCAAAAATATGTTACATTATCATCTGTAATAATTTTAACGAATGGAATTGAAAACACATATAATGACATGAAAAAAGAAAAATTGTCACCCTTAATACTAAACATGATCACTAAGTTTTTAATTGGTATTTCAGAGCGATTACCTTTCCTAGAAAATTCAAAGAGTTTGATTGTGTCTACGTTTTTAGACCCGCGATTTAAAAACTATGGGTTTTGTAGTGAAAGTAATGCAGAAAGGGCCAAAAAGCTCGTAATTAATTTAGTTGCCCACAAAATCAACGAACTCTCTACTGCTCCTGAATTAATCAATTCAGATGACAATAGAAATGAGAAAACACTTTCGACGATGCCATCAGTATGGGGATTTTTGGATAAAAAACTTGTTTCCACAAAGAAAAGCTGCTCAGCTCCGGCCACGTCAAGAGCAATAATTGAGGTTCAGAGGTATTTAGAAGAAGATTTGATTGACAGACATGAGGACCCATTGAAGTGGTGGCAAAGGTGTTCTTACAATTTTCCAAATTTGTCCAAAGTCGTTATAGACAAATTCGGAACAGTTGCAACCTCAGTTCCCTGTGAACGTGTCTTTTCCAAATCTGGACAGCTTTTATCAGAAAGACGATCAAGACTTAGTTCTACAAATGTTAAGAATATAATGTTCCTAAATGTAAATAGTGAGTGTTAATTCAACATCGACAATTTTTATTAATGTAATAAAAATTTTCATAATTTCTCTTTGCTGTAATTAATGCTTCTTATATTTTTTAGGTTGTCATGAAATTTTCTTGTTTTTAAATAAAATCTTAATATTTTTCTAATAATATTGTATATTATAATTATTATAAATAATTTTCTTAATAATGTGCACGCAATGACATTATTTATTATTTATAACTTTCATTTTATAAAAGATTGAAATAAATACGCAATTCATTTTTATTAAGAACAGCGTGAGCTGTTCTTGTTGATAAAACAATAATGATCCAACCAAAACATCTACATATTGTAAGCGTATTTACGGAAAGAGCACTGTCACTGTCATCACTGCAAGCAAAGGAGCGCATCGCTTTGTCAGTAATCACAGTCACAGTCGCAATCGCCAATCGCAATTATTGAATGTTCGATCTTTCACAGCTTGGCGCTGTTCCTTCGTCACCGTTCTGATCGGACCGTTGTAAACGTAACTGCGACAAAATGTAGCAGTGATTTTTTTTAAACCGGAGCAACCTGTGATTGCGACTGAAGGTGAACAGTGACAAAGTAGCAGTTAGCGAAATCGCAACACATCTCTAGTTTCAACCATGTTCTACCATCCATCAATTAATAGAGTACCGGCATCATTTGTTTAACTTTGTATCGAGACCTGAGGATGCTTTGCATATTGTAGAAAGCGAAACCGGTCGTCTGATAGTTAAATTAAATTGATTGTGAGTAAGTCTTATTTATTATTTATTTACCTATTTGATATATAATAATAAAAAATACATCATAGGAAAGAGTTAGGTAGAAAGAAATTTAAAATCATACGGCTTAAAAACATATGGGAAAGGTTCCAAATAAAAGCAGCAAACATATTATGTACTAGATTCGTTTTATCGCCAGTTCTACTAGTGATCTTTAATTTATCTCTTATGGTGTATCAAAATAAGAAAACATCTTACCAGTATCATCTCTCTTGTCATCGTCATCTTTATCTTTATCATCGCTGTCGGATACTAAAGCGTCATCATCGTCATCCGTTTTGTTTTTAGGTTCCCACGTCATTTTGTTCTCCTTCTTCAGTCTTCGTCTTGCGTTCGCAAACCACGTCGATACTTGCGTCAAGGTCATTTTGGTGATAATGGCTAACATAATTTTTTCGCCTTTCGTAGGATACGGGTTCTTTTTGTGTTCATTGAGCCAAGCCTTCAACGTCGCCGTCGATTCCCTTGTGGCGTTTTTACGTCTAGCTGCTAAATCGTACCCTGCTCCGTATCTGTAAAAAATTCGGTAAATATCAAATCAATTTAGTAACTTTATTGATACCTGTCAAATAAAAAGATCGCAAATGGGAAAAAAAATAACAATGAACAAAAAAATTTAACAATTCCTGCAATTGATTTTAGTTAAACCAGCATATCTATGTTTTATAGACCTGACAAAGGCTTTCGATAGCATTCAAGTCGAAAACGTTTTACACCTACTGTATAAAAGAAACATACCAATCAATATTATACAAACAATCGAAAACATCTACCTCCATAATCGAATACAGGCAAAGATAAAAGGAAAACTAACACAGTGATACCACTACAAACGAAGTCAGAGAGGGTGACTCCTTAAGAACACTTCCAGAATGGGGAACAAAGAAATCTAAATATTATGTTATGCAGGCGACGCCACATTAATCGCCAAGACAGAAGACGAGCTCCAAAGATTAACAAATATCTTCAATACAACAGCCAAGAAATACAATATGCTAATATCAGCAGAAAATAACATATTATGTACATCTAAATACCTACTACGATGTAAAATCAGAATTAATGGGAACATAATAAAACAGGAAGCAAGGTTTAGATAACTGGGAATAGATATAACTAGCTACAGAGACGTTGAAGAAGAATTACGACAACAAAGTTTAAAAGCAAGTAAAGCGGCGGGATCTTTTAATCACACAATCTGGAAGAACAAAACAAGAATCTATAAAGCAGCAATTAGACCTATATTAACACACACAGCGGAGACAAAACTTGACACATCTACAATGAGACGACTAGACTCCGACAAAGTTAAGTTTGGGAGTATGACTCATAAATCGGCGATGCGCAGTGGTTCTTGTTTACTGGGTGTTACCATAGAAACGGCCAGTTTGCTGTTTGCCAGTGTTGTAGTGTTGTATTGCAGAGAGTGTTTGACTTGTTGATTTGATGGTGTTGGATATTTTATTATTTTATTTTAGATTAGTGCTTAGTATCATATTGGTATAGTAATTAGTGAATTATTAAGTCATTTGGTGTATTTATAGTGTGTTAAGTTTAGTTATTTAACAATATGACATCTAAAAATATAGAAACAAAAGAGCTGGGATTAAATATCCAAGCAAAGGCAATAATGTATAATGTTACTACATTTATGGAACAAGAGGCGGCACATTTCGAAGCAACCGAAAACCTGTAATACCTTTAAGGAAATTGACGTAAGTATTTTCAATATTTTATTTTCTTATGTGTGTATGTATAATAATTAATGTTAAATGTTAAGTTAAAAAATAATTTACGATAAAAAATTTTGTGTAAATAAAATAGAATCAGTAAAATTGTAAAACTAGTAGTAGCAGTACTAGAAAGTTTTCTAGTAAAAACACTGACATAGATATATTTTTAACAAAAACGGTAGATACAATTCCTTTACAATTTTACTTACTTAGTAAACAAGATTTTACTTTCCAAAATTAACTATTTATATTTATTTTAAGGTATTTATCAAAAACTACCTAAAAATTAACTAAAGAACAAAGAAATGGGATTTCCAGGATCAAAGGAATCATTAAGGAAAACCATAATTGGATTAGGCTTTAGGTAACACAGTAAAATAATTATTCAGCTGAACAAATACAACTGTATAATGGATAATGTATTTTAAATTAATAATTTATTAACACCGTTTCAGTTAAACTTATGATATGAATAGTGTCTTTTCAAAAATACTAAATATTTGGATAATTTATTTCGATTTCGGTTTCCGAAAAACTGTAAACAAAAAATACGATACGATTCTACATAATTTTTGTTTTTAACAAATGAATTTTTCTCACTTCTGTATGTATTGATCAATTTGAAATTTAAGCCATCATACTTTTGAAAATTACATTCTTTAAATTATCTCGAACAAATTACAGGTAGAGAAAAACCAAAGACAATAGGAGTGTGAATGGAAAAATATGAAATTCGTTTAAAACGAATAGAATATTTAAAGAAGCTAATTCAATTTCGATCTGAGGGTAGAACCATTGTTTATACCGACGAAACATATATACACAGCATATAAATTATATATTTAAATATATTAAACATATAAACATAGAAGTCTTTACAATCATTACTGTTTAGAAAATAAATACATTATTTAACTAGTTAAAATAAATTACTTATTTTTTTCTGTGGTATTGAAACCCTTCCTTCCTTCCTGGCAATGTTAATAAATTGTAGGTATTGAGGAATTTGTTATTTATTAAGTACTCCTAATAGTTTTACTCATTATTTTATCGAATATCTGACTATAAACTTCATAAATATTAAAAACGATGAAAATAAAAATGACAAATTCATTCTCACTTTAATTGAATATAGTTATAAAAATTTATTTTAAAACTGCCGGTTTCCGTCCGCCACTGGTAGAAACGGTCCACCCTTCTGCGCGAAACACTACGTCACATTCCCAAACTTAAGTTTGTCGGACTCTACTAGAAACAACAGAGATGAAAATACTGGGACGAATATCAGGAAAAAGACTGTTGAATAGGAAGAGTTATTAAAATCATTTCAATATAATTTTTCTCGCATAGATTTCCTTTTGACGAAGAAAAATAAACTCATTATATAAACGTGCATGTCATTATTGTAGTAAAGATACCTTCAACCTACAAGTGATAGGTCTCTTTAACGCCTTATTAAATAGCAAGGATACCCGACTGCTGGTCTATATATTATACGTCAATGGACTTTTAATTTCCTGGTTTTAACGTCATCTGTCATATACGTCACGTGTCATTTGTTTTGACATATTATTGACATGATTATATTTAATTACAATCATTTTGTAAACATAGTTTTTGGTGAACATTTCTCCTTATTAACAAATTAATATAATTTATTAAATAATTATTGGATTGAGTGCTACAGAAACATTTATCACTATAAAATATTTCAAAAACTTTCAATACAGCAATATCACCTGATATTAAACTTCAAACATAAAAACAGATAAAATATTGATTGAACTTGTCTATTTACTCGTCTGATCAATAAAAATATCGATTAGCTTAATTTGACTAATACTTAATCTATTTATCCTCTTAGTGTTTACGATTTTGTAAATAGTATTTCGGTATTTTTCTTTGAAGACAAGTACGTCCTAAGTAAAGGCTTTTAGAATTTTTATGTATTACGTGAATTGGAGTGCTTTTTAAATGTAATCATCTTTAAAACTTACAATGTTATAATTTGCTAGAGATGTTTTATACATTTTTTTAACTAATATTTTTTCTAAATATTAAAAAAGAAATAACGATAAAGGTTTAAATAAAAAAAAATTGAAACTTAAAGCGTTTATTATCCAATCTATTACACATTCTTACAGTCTGTAATAATACGGATCTAATATATTTCATTATTAATAATACACAGTATGATTATGTATACTCCATTCCACGAATATACGACTGTTTTAAATTCGCTTTAAGGTGTCGATTTAAATGGTCAAATGTACTGAATTGTACAATAGTAAATTCTCCCCATTTTTAAAATACTGTTACGACAGATATAAACCTTAGATTTAAATATTATGAAGTCATAATATAAATATAAAGTTAATAGTTTATAGAACAGTTGTAACTCAGATTTTGAAGTATATAATTACTATCATGGAGTTTAGTATTGTAAACAAGTTGGTTTTTGAATTATGTGATTTAAACGAAATGTAACAATACTTAAGTGATCAAATAGTGTAATTTTTTTAGGCGAATATTCAATTAGTATTAAAAAAATAAAAAAAAACTTACTTATTCACTTATTCTCTTAATCTTCTAAAACTGTCATCAACGATCAGATTCACAGCCATAATCAGTCGGCGATATATGAAACTGTATACAAATTTTCGTTACTTTTTAATATCTGTAACGACTCTGTACTTTAACTATCAACAGCCGGTATGTTATACCCGTTACTTTCGGAACTTTTAAGAGTACATAAACTCAAAGCAAACAAATATTTAAAACTAACAAAGTGAAATATTAGATCCTTTTTCTGGTTTCTGAACCATCGTTCTGCTAATTTCTTTTCATTTATATTAAAAATAGTATATTTCTTTTTATTACAGTTGTAATACTTAATAAAGTCATAAAATAGGGTAATATCAAAGAAACCCGGCACGCCTCTTTGTTGTTTACATTTCACGGAAAGCTTACCCAAATGTCTGATGAACACATTTGACTTCATAGACGTCATTGTATTTATTTGTAGATTTTAACTGAAATAATTTTAGTTTAGATGTCATAATAGTGGACCCTTTTTATTGGAATAATGATTGGACCAATTTACCTTCATACTTCTACTTGCACAGTAAAATATTCGTTGTCGCAGTAAACCAAAACAGTCGTATATTCGTGGAATAGCCTATAATATATTTATTTGCAATATATTTCTTTGTGCATGTATCTTTACAGCAAAAAGGTCGAGTTATCGTTAAATGACTTTTTAAATGTTTTTTTTTTCAGGTGTGTTCATCCAATGCAGCAACCGTTGGGACCAGAGATGAAAACTTTACTGCACTATTTTCAGTGGTAGCCTTAATAAAGGACTCGTTAGGCATCTGTTCCAGATAAGCTGATAGGTCTTCGATGTGTTGTAGTTTACTCATATTCACATATTTTGCACTTCCGTACAAGAATATTGTGCAGTACCTGCTAGCTTCTAAAGGCTTTATTATAAAATATATCGATCTTCTCTCCCAAACGCCGTAGAATTTATGTTCAATGCTAAATAAATGGATGTTTACGCTTCGGCCGCTTGCATATAACTGAATTTTGGTTCCTTCCTTTATCGATGAATTGACCTTGAATGTTGCAGCTATATGTGTTGAGTTATACTGAAATATGCAATAGACACACAGTATACTAGAAAGACCCACGTTATTGATTTTTTCATTCAAATTTCATTAGGTTCATTCAAAAACCACTTGAAAGATAATTTCAAGGGCTATAAAGTCGTATTAAAT